AACTGAGTTGCTGAGGAAAAATATTGTGATAAGTTATGGGCCTGTGATTTCAAGAATATTTTTACGTTTTTGTTCTTAATTATCTATGCACACTTACATAGATACACGCAGACAGGGGTTACTGTGTTTTAGGGTATAGCGGAAGATTAAGAATTTATGTACTTTCATATTTAAACGAGTTTCTGCGGAAATATATTGGGAATTCAGGACAAGGTCAACAAAATTTGGATCTAAGATTTAAATTTTTTTGTCTTTTCTTCTTTATATGTCGGCAAGTATCTAATTAGGCTAGCATTTCAGGGTTTAGCCAAAGACCCAATTTTAATGTACTTTACTTCTTTTTTTTTAATTCCTTTTTGAGTTTTGAGTGGCTTGAGAACAATCCTGTAGCTAACAAAAAAAATATCTAGAAAGTGTATAGGTTCATGATTTCGCCCCTGTTGGCTAAGCTAAAAAATAAGATATTTAACGGATTTTGATAAAATTAGATGAAATATGTGGTTTAAAAGTTGATAAAAGTTGCAATTCTCATGAAATGCATGGGTGAAAAAGAGTTTGACGAAAATGGGGCCAAACATGGTCTTCATGTTTCTCTGTCTTTCCTCTTAAACTATTTTCTTTGCCTTTACTCATAGTCAATTGCTTGTAGTTTGCATTTTCCTCAAGAATAATGCTATCCCAACCACCAGTCTTGGTGGTTAGACTTTCTTGGTTTAATTAAATTAGTCATATGACTTTGCCTTTAAATGAATCTATCACGTAATGCCATGTAGTTGCCACCTAAACTGGTGCTTTGCACTAGTGGTAATGGATAACATTATTCTTTTCTCAAATACATATTCATATATTTATTCTGTGAGAGGTTTAGTGTTTTTGAAGGTTTAACTAAAGACTCTATTTCTGTGCAATTTCATTTGTTTTTCCAGAGTGGCTGAGGAAAATGTCATACTTAACAAGTAATTTAGTGCATCTTATGCCTTTTCTTTGATTAGATTCAAAGCGTGTGTTTAAAGGGAACAAAAGGAAGATCTATAAGTTAAAATGCAACTTTTTTAATATTTAGTGCCCATGCTATTTAGTAGCCAATGATTTTAATTTAAACAAAATCGATATTTTGTTAGTTTCGTATCGCTAGTAATTTTCTGTTTTCTTTATTGATCAAAAAATCGTTTTAAGAAAGATAATAATATTAAAATGAGAGCTTATTAAATTTTTGTTTCTTGTTATTATTCATCTTTGATGTCGGCTATTGGTTGAAGAGTTGGAGCATAATGGATAATTCATAATTGCATGATTTTTTTTATTTTTATTTTTTTCCCTATATAATCAAATTTAATACATTTTCTTCTTACTATATATTTTAAGGGCTTTTAATATTAAATTTGAACTTTGCAAAAGATTTTCAAATTTGAGGCGTGTAAATCATTTTTCCCTTCCCTGTTTATATATTTTCTCTATTTTTGTCAACTAAAGCTTCACTTTCTCATGGCTAAATATTAGCCTAAGCTTATTTGAAATAGGTATTAGGTGAATGTGCTTGAGCCCATCATAGGAGTTAAAAGACACTTTCAATTATTCGAATGTGCACTTGGCCTCTTCATGATCCAAGTAAATAATGTCGTTTGAGATTGATGTGAAAGGTAAACAAGTTTTGATTCTACTTAGTTCTGATGCTTGACGTTGGAGATTGATGTGAAAGGTAAACAAGTTTTGATTCAACTTAGTTCTGATGCTTGACGTTGGAGATTGATGTGAAAGGTAAACAAGTTTTGATTCAACTTAGTTCTGATGCTTGACGTTGGAGATTGATGTGAAAGGTAAACAAGTTTTGATTCAACTTAGTTCTGATGCTTGACGTTGGAGATTGATGTGAAAGGTAAACAAGTTTTGATTCAACTTAGTTCTGATGCTTGAAAAAAAATAAAAAATAAAAAAAATAAAAAATAAACAAAGAGCTTGAACAACCTACTTATGTTCATGCTCGAACACAATTTATTGATTCAGGTAGATCCATTTTACATTTTTAAATGAGTATAAGTTCATGGTTTGATGTGTCGAGCTAAAGATGAGGATAATTTGTAGTAGTGTGAAAATTATTGATAATTATTGATTCTAAGGCCATTGCTAGCAAAAGGGATAAAATACTCTTCAAGATCATATACATGTGGGATTTGTTTGTACATGAGTGTCTGCAACTTGCAAGCGTTCTTTATAGTCATCTAATGAGTTGATAATCATGTTTGCAGAGGTACATGCAGCAATACAATGAAGTGGAACTCTGTGGTCTTGGCATGGGTAATTCTTTTTATCTGCAACTTTGGCTTTTCAGTTTTTTAATGTTACGAATTTTGCTAGGTATGTTTTCATGAATGGAACCTAATGCAATTATGTAGTATAACAAGTTACATTGTGTTTTGCCTTCAGCTATTTCCACAGTGGTCAGTATCGCTGAAATTTTGAAAAACAATGGATTTGCAGTTGAAAAAAGTAAGAATATTTGACCTTGATTATTATTATTATTTTTTATTAAGGCTCCTTTGCCTTTTCAGCTTTCCCTTTACCCTCATTCTGGTTCTTCATAGACTTTGTAGTACAATGTTGCCTTTGATAAAATGCTTGTTAAGGTGGATTTGGACAGTGTAGGACTATACTAAAGAAGAAAAAGAATATTAAATCCTGTTCAGTGAAATGCGCTGTTTGGTCTAATACTAATATCAAACATGTGCTTAGATATTTGTTCCATGTGCAGAAATCAGGACATTGACTGTTGACATGAGGGATGAACCAGGAGCACGGCCAATCCCCAAGGCAAAGGTAACTTTAAACTCTTCATCTAATAAAAATAAATGTGACGGGATGTAAATGGATGAAGTCAGCAGCACATGTTGTGCCAAGTAAATGTTCTTGTGTGACTTCTAAATTTGGCGAGATTCCATAGTTCTAGAGATTCTAGTTGAAAGCATTACCTATTGTGACGTGATAATATCTTTGAATGTGTGTGATATCTCTTGAAGATATTTAGACATTTTTTGAGTGTTAAGAAACATTGGTATCACTTAGCTTTGGCTGCAAACTTTTGACAAATGGTAGAAGGGTTGACTTTGGATGCCATATTTACCATCAACTTGTCATTTCATACTTTGTGACTTTAGTGATTCTGTTTTTATAAAGGATTTTTTGGTT